ATGTATTATTTGTTTCAGAGGTACAGATCTGTGATTCAACAGTCTTGCACAATTCACAGTGCTCACCACAGCACATACGCTCCCCAGTGTCTATCACCCAGCCACCCCCTCCCTCCCACCCCCCACCACTCCAGCAACCCTCCATTTGTTTCCTGAGATTAAAAATTCCTCATATCAGTGAGATCATATGATACATGTCTTTCTCTGATTGACTTATTTCGCTCAGCATAACACCCTCCAGTTCATCCACGTTGTTGCAAATGGCAAGATCTCATTCCTTTTGATGGCTGCATAATATTCCATTGTATATGTGTGTGTGTGTGTGTGTGTGTGTGTGTGTGTGTCTATACACACACACACACACCATATCATCTTTATCCATTCATCTGTCGATGGACATCTTGGCTCTTTCCACAGTTTGGCTATTGTGGACATTGCTACTCTAAACATTGGAGTGCACGTACGTACCCCTTTAAGATAAAAAATTTAGGTCTTTTTCTATGGGCAGCATGAAACTACTAGGGGGTCTTGATGGGGGAGGTGTGTGTGGAATGATCGGATTTAAGTTTTAAAAAGCTGCCTCATCAGTTGTGCAGAGAAGGGATTGGAGTGGGCAGATGTGGACATAGACAACTGGGGGAATCCCTGGTAAAGGCCATCGGAGACCCAATGGCCCAAAGTGACATGGTGATGATGGTGGTGGAGGATGGAAGAATAGAGCTCCAAGAAGTTTTTACAGAGCAGAGGAGCAAGACCTAGTACCTGTTGGGCTATGGTTATGTTGGTGGGGAGGAGGGGATCAGGCATGGCTTCAGCGTCTGTCTGGCGGAACTTGCTGGATGGTGTGGTGATATGCACTAGACAAGAACTAGAGTTGAGACTAGAGAGAGCATGTGGAGTTTGGTTTTAGACAAGATGATTTTGAAGTTCTTGTGATGTGACATGTAAAGAATGATGTCTCCAAGTTGAGTACATGGGTCTAGAGCTTGGAAGAAAGGTGGGAAATGTAATGGGAATTTGAGACTCGTTAGCCTGTGATTATCAAGGCTGGTGGGGTCTCCCAACCTCCCAATGTCCTGTGACTTTGATATGTGAGCAGATGTGCCTCAGGGCCTTTGCATGTGTACCAGTCAGCACATTTAACAGGAACAGTAAGTTGAACTACCAGTTAAAGGAGAATTCCTCCTCTAAAATGAAGCAAAATATATTGTGTGTTTTTATACTAATAATCGAGATACAGAAATTTTGTTTTCTCATATTTCTTTGTCCTCTTTCTCCTTCCACCTCCTCATCCTCCTTTTCTTTCTCCTTTTTTTCTCTGCTTTTCCTTCTCTTATTTTTTTCCATCCTGTCTACTATCGTGGCATGTGGTAACCTACACTGACGTTTTATATGGGCACAGTGCCATAACAGAAAGGTCACTCTTTGGGGTTTACTTTTCTCAACCCATGTGGAGGGTTAAGGGACACTCTTTATAAACCATTAAGAGGTAACTATCTGTCTGTCATTTTACATGGGCACATACTGCTTATAAGTAGATTTAGGAACCAGAGATGCATCCTTAAGTAGAGTACGCTTTTATTTATAAGTCTTATTTATGCAGCTAGATTAATGTTTTCAGTTCTGGAGAAATTTTACATGCTAATCACTTTTTGTTAATTTTAAAATTATTTTTTAAAAAATGCTAGTCACTTTTTCCCTCTAATTAATGCTGATTTATTTTGATTTTCCTGGTTAATAGATTACTGTCCTAGATGAGACATGGACCGTATTCAGGCGCTACAGTCGTTTTCGAGAAATGCATAAAACATTGAAGTTAAAGTATGCAGAGGTAAGTTATGAAATAATTATCTCCAATTAAGAACATTTATTTTATAAAGCAAATGAGCTGATTGCATTATCAATGCTCCCTCCCTTTTAGGTGTCAGCTTGTGTCACCAAGTTTTATTGCAATTACTCATCTGTCAAAGGTAGCTTTTTAACTTCTGTTCTTTGTTTCATTTCCATCCTACACAATTTAAACATTTCCTGAACTCAAGATTTTGAAAGTGATAGTAAAGTGATGGTAAATGAATTCTATCCTTTTCATAAATTTTACAACGAACCTTAAATAAATATTTTAATCAATTTACAACTTTTAAACTGTAAGACCTATTAAAATAGTAATAAATCCCTCAATATAGATTTGTCCTTTCTTTTCTTAAAAAAGACTATATTAATACTTAGACTTCTACTTAATGAGAAGTTAAGTCTTAAAAGTAAATTTGCCATCAGACATGGATGGGAGATAGATCATAAGTATGGAATTATTTAGAACCAAGGAGGCATTTCATGCATCTGATCAGATATCCAGAGTATATTGATACATTGTTATTCTTTTCCTCTTTGGACAAAGACTAGTTTTTAAGATACTTTTGACTTGGGGCGCCCAGATGGCTCAGTCGGTTAAACGTCTGACTCTTGGGTTTTGGGTCATGTCATGATCTTAGGGTGGTAAAGATCAAGCCCCACATCTGGCTCCAGTGGGGAGTTTGCTTAAGGATTCTCTCTCTCTCTCTCTCGCTCTCTGCCCTCCGCCCTATTCACACTCACTCGTTCTCTCACAAATAAATAAATCTTAAAAAAATAAAATACTTTAGGGGTGCCTGGGTGGCTCAGTTGGTTAAGCGGCTGCCTTCAGCTCAGGTCATGATCCCAGGGTCCTGGGATCGAGCCCCGCATCGGGCTCCCTGCTCAGCAGAGAGCCTGCTTCTCCCTTTCCCTCTGCCTGCTGCTCTGCCTACTTGTGCTCTCTATCTCTCTGTCAAATAAATAAATAATATCTTTAAAAAAAAATAAATTAAAAAATAAAATAAAATACTTTATAGCAGAGAAGTATTCCTAAAATTAATGTGTATCTCCCAAGCGAGTATTTATTTACTTTTATTTCAACTAAAGGAAACCTTGTGTCAGCACAGCTCTTTGGGAATTTTGGTTTGAACTGACTGCAAATCAGTCAGTAGTCACTGTCTAATACCTGCTTTCCCCAAGTATTGTTTTTCAGCACTATTTTTATAGTTTCTTATGATACCCTAAAAAATAATTTAGTCAGACTTTTTTTTCTACTTCACACTAAATAACTAATGTTTCCTTAACCTTTCCATGCCTTCTCCTCTTTCTTACCCAATATAAATATAAAGAAAATTCCTTTTTGTAAATAAGATGTTTCCTTGAGTTTTGGTAAAATTGAATTATCTGAAATCCGGTTGTTTAAGTATTAATAGTATTCAATTAAATATTGAAGAAGCTTAAGATATGAATTTTAGTTCAGTGTTCCTCATGGAGCTCAGTCCCAGAAGTAACTGCATCAAAGTCATGTTATTAAGTTTCTACAATTTACGCTTCATGTCCCAAGTTAATATTGACAATAAAAATTGTAAGTATCATGTACATATTAATGTATAGAGTGACTTGTTTTTAAAGTGAGCTTTGCAGCTCATTACCTGCCTGATTATAAGTTACTATACCAGTACTTTAATAATGTACAGGTTTTCATATTAACTTACTAAATTCCCCGATGATAGAAATGTGTATATATGTATCATTCATACCATGACTTATTTCATATCCATTCTTTCAGTGACGTTAGTTCAGGGCAATACTACTTAGGAAAATTTAGTATATTCTAATAATGGAGTGGTGTACAGGAACAAAAATGTCTTCTCTTATGTATCCTCAATTCCTCTTGGGACAGACTGACAATAAGCAAGGGAAAAATAATAACTGTCACTTAACAAGTATGTGTGCTATGTGACAGTTACCATCTTAAGTGAGCTGCATGCCTTTGAGGAAAAATATCAGTAAAATCTAATGGGGCAGAAGGTGTTGGGCATTTTAGTATAGGGTTGTTTCAGGGTTGGGCTTTCTGATGAAATGACATTTTAGTTGAAATTTGAGGTGAGAGACATGAGTTTGGAAAGAAAGAATGCACAGCCCTAATCAGTGTTTTTAAAGAAAACTTCAAAAGAAACAGAAGTGATCTTTAAAAATATAATAGAAGAAAACATACCTGAGGCTAACAGTGATGTAAACATGTAAATCAAAGAGGTTGCCTGTTAGCAGGTAAAATTAATGAACATAGATGATCACATAACGTAAAATTCTTCTCAAGGGAAGAAAGAGTGTATTGCATACCTGCTGAAAAAAGTTAAGTGACCTTTGAATGAGGAAAATCAAGCTGGTCTCATTCATTCGGTCAGTCGTAAGTCTGTATTGAACAGCTCCACACTGAACACCATTGTAAGCAAGACAGCCACGTTCCCTCCTCTCGCAAAGCAGAGAGAATAAGCAATAAACAAACAAACTAATAAGTGAGATCATTTTAGATAACATTAAGTGCCGAGGCAGTGTGATAGTGTAGTATGATAGCTGGGCATGCAGGGAGAAATCTGAATGTTAAAAAGGAGGCAGACATGAAAACCTGGGGGTGAGCCTATCTTCAGTAGAGGGGACGGCAAATGCACAGGCCCCGGAATGGACCAAGCCTGGCCTGTTCCAAGAATAAAAAGACCGGTGAAGTGTCAGGTGTGGTAGAGATGAGGGCAGGGAAGTCGATGGGGACTGTATCATGTAGGGCCATGAGTTTGATCCCGAGTGCTGTGGCAAACCACTGGATGATGTTGAAGAAGGTCTGCACATTCAGACTAAGCTGGAATTTCCGTTCTATCCATGTATGACTTCTCACAGAAACCTTTTTCTGGAACACAGGCTCACGATCTAAATGACACCCAAGATTGGAAATTGCTTATCTGTGTTGAGTCCAACTTTGTGACTTATAATTTCTTTCTTCTCAGGGCAAAAAAAAATGTTAAGAACTTACAGGCATGTGTGTGCATCTATTTGAAAGAGAGGAGGTGATGTGAGTAGGGATTTGAAACCGTGTGGTGATATCCTAAAACAAACCGTGCCTCTAGAAAGGGAAGTTGTGCTAATTACAAAGCCTGAGGGGACACCACTGAGCTTTGCAATAGCCACACTCTAATTTCCTCACCAGTGACTGAGTGCTGATGGTGCCCTGGGTGTTGTGTTATGCTTTTGCCATTCGTGACTTCCTGTGGTTGGAGCCAGAGACTTGCCTCTTGTCACACAACTGGTCAGCGGAAGCCAGTGTGGAAGCCCAGATGGTTGGACCCCATTTACTATTTCTAACCAAGCAATACTATAAAAATAAAAATGGAGGAAAAAAGGTGATCTGTAAAAATACAGCAACATGTCATTGTAGATCTAGATAAATCTTATTCCAGTGAGAGGAGAATAGCATCACCCATTTAACATTTTCAAGATGAAGCTTAAATGTCAAGTTGAATATCAGCTCTATTTTCTAACATAAAGTTGACTTTCCTTTTGTGCAGCCTACCTTCACATAATCTTACTTGCTAAGTGTTTGTGGAGACTTGAGATCAATAATGTTTATTAGGTCTTCAGTTAGGATTGTTCTTACTATTGTTCATATTATTGCCATCTCTGTGTATAATGTTAATCTTACTGAAGTAATCAGCTACCTCCAGATGATCTACTTGGCCTGACAGCATCCTAGAAATCACTTGACTTGTCAAAGTCAGAGCTTCTTCAGGAATGTCAAAAGGTTCAGATAGAAGGATGCTGAAAATTTACGCTTACAGATGACTGTTTCATAGCCAAGTGGGAACATGTTTCATTTACCTCACTCCTTCACCAAATTGGGGTCATTATTTCTATACAAGTAGGAAACTACTCTTGTTCTCTCAGTTGCAAGAGTAACAAGACGGTTGATTTTTTTTCTTAATGATACATACTAAATTGACCAAGTTATACAAAGTTTCACATTTTTAATCAAACTGAAAAATGTGCTTGAATTCAAAATACACAGGATTTGTAATTACTTGCCAAGATAGAGAATCTCTATTCACCTTAAAACTTTAGTTTGTTTTATAGCTTATAATCTTTTGGAACTCTGAATTATATCCTATTCATTCACACTTCCTTCTTGAATTTTAGCCCTGTTTTTCCTGGAGGATATATCTCTAAAGAAGTTTGATGAGACAGTTCCTTTTATGGAGATTTTCTTTTTTCTTCCAGTGATTTTTTTTTTTCCAGATCATAAGTTACATGTTTATGGTAAAAGATTGAAATTATTCAAAGATGTATACATAGAATGTGAAAGTTTCTCTTCATCTAGCCCCCAGAAGTTAACCGTTCGCAGTGCCCTTAGAAGGTCTTCTTGGGTCCAGCTAACCATTCAGACTCACAGGACTCCCATAGGCCATACTGAGCATTTTGAGTGACCTGAGAAAGGTGTAAGCAGATAGCTCTGCTTGCCAGCAGAATACCTACAGGGACATGCTGAGTTATAAGAGTCACCTCACTCAGGGAAGCCTAGAGCTATGGCCTCCCGCCAAAGAGCTATCACTTCCCCAGTCTACCAACACTTTATCCATTTATCAAGCGATTGATCATTTTGCCAAGAGCAGTGGTCCTAGTAAACAAAGTTGGCATACCACCTAACCGGATTTTCAGAATCCTCTTCATGGGTAGTTTCTAGGTTCTTGCTGTTGTGACTACCTCTCTGTGCACGTTCTCTTTTTTGAGAAAGAGAGAGCTGGGTGGCAGGGGTGGGGGTGGGGGCAGAGGAAGAGGGAGAGAGAGAGAGAGAATCTCAAGCAGGCTCCATGCCCAGCACAAGCCCGACACGGGGCTCAATCTTACAACCCTGAGATCATGACCTGAGCCGAGATCAAGAGTCAGACGTTTAACTGACTGAGCCACCCAGGTGCCTCCTGTGTGCACATTCTTAAAGATATCTACCTGACTTCT